CTAGACTGGGTGGAAATTGCCTTCAGCCAGTCGTGAGAAGTGTCTCCAGCCCACTTAACACCCCAGAGCATATGAGATTTCATGAGAGTTATGCATACTGCACCTGAAGCTACAAGGCCAACCTGGCAATCCATGGTATAACTTATCCCAGAGGACTCAGAGGCCTCAGACAAGCTAGTTTCCTTCAAGCAGACTAAAAATTAGCAAAATCAGAGAGTCATACTAACTCCGATCTGAGGACCAGGGACTGTTTTTAATCTTTGAATAAGCTATTTGGGAGGTTATAGCATCCAACTGTATTGAAGAAAGCTTTTTTTTTTTTTTTTTTGGTACTGGGGATCGAACTTGGGCCCTTGTGCTTGAGCAGCAGGTGGCGAAACCACTGAGCTAAATCCCGGGCCCAAGAAAGCTAAAATTTAATATCAGAATTCTTTCCAATTAGGTCAAGTGAAATATAATATGAATTAAGAAATAAAGAATGGTAATACTATTTTGCCTGAAGTGCCTTAGGGCAATTCATACATTTATAATACTTTTTCCTGATTACATAAAGCTGCACTGAAATACCTTCTTTCATGTTATTTCATTAGTATCAATTATCTACAAGATAAAAATTATGGTTATAACTCAATGTTAAGTTTTAATATTTCTTTTTCTGTGAAGGTATTTCTCTTCCCAGGAAAGTATAATTCTTCTCTCTCTTTGTTCCTATGACACATATCTTTGTACATATCCTGATGTAGGACTTATATTATAATTGACTGTTTACATGTCTAGTTTCACATGAAGTTCCTCATAAACTTGCTTCACTCATCTATATAGCCCTAGTTTGTCCAAATGCCTTGTACAAAGCGGGTGGCAGGTTATATTATAGAACTAAGTAAATGAACAAATAGTAGAGTGAGAGGTCACAATAATTGTTGTGCTAGAGAAAAATAGTTAATTTCTTCGACATTAATGTCTGTCTTTAATGAGAAGATCTAGGACACTGCCTTTTTGAGGAATCTTCTTGTACTTTTTGATTTTTTTAAAAAGAATTAAGTAGTATTAGATTACTTACATTGGGCTGTGAATTACTAAACTACTGTCAAGTTACATATCATTGCAGAAGAGAATCCTGTTTTAGTATCATAAGACATAAAGTGTGAAATTTAAATGCTAAATTAAAATGTGCATTTTCCCAAGAAGAAAATATGAGAAACTTAACAGCTTCAAAAAGCATTTCCTCTAAGAAATATACCAACTTCTCTTCATAGCCAAAGTAAGGCATACTCTAAAAGAGTTTTAAATGACTCATAAATATCTTTTTATTCATTACTATTAGAATCTTTGGAATCTACATAAAAGCAGCTATTTGAACAAACTCTACATTCAGTTTTTTTAAAAGTCATTTCTCAAAGAAGAATTATTTTGCATTTTAATTAAAATGTACTCATAAAAATCCACCAAAAAAACCTAAACACCTACTTAAAGGCAATGCATTTACTCTTCTCCATATTTCAGCTGATTTTTGGTATGACAGTGGGTTTTTCTTTCCACAACTACTGCTACCACGACACAACAACCCATTGCCATGTAATGTGTTCTTGCTCAGTGCTTAACATAGCACCAAGTAAGTGGCAGATGACATCTCATTCTCCATTCAAGTATGAGACTAAAAGGAACGCAGAAACAGTGCATGTCATTAAAACATGAGTAAAACTTAGTATGAGATGTGTATGCACTGAAAGATCCTAAAGGTAATATTTACACAATAGTCAGATATATGTTACAGGTGTAGCTGCTTGGCAGAGACAAAGGCAAAGTCTGAGCTGGTGCCTCACTCATTGTTTGAATGATAAAGTGATGTCCATATATGATACATGGCAGAATATTAAAGCATTAAAAAGATGATTGAATTACTATTCATCTATTTATAGTGATGAGGGATTTATTTTATGCTTTTCCAAATTAAAGAATCCTGTCACTGGGCATAATCATTTGGCCAAGGGTTGACAATACACCCACAGTGGTAGATCTCTAGGAAATAAAATACTGAATTGGAGTTCCATTATTATACCATATTAGATCTTTCATATAAGGTTTTTAAGGTTTTAAAATAGGCTAGTTCTTTTTCATGTATGAGATAAACCTTAATTCAAGTGAAAAAATAGAGCATCAAGAAAAATTTGGGAAAGCTCAAAGAACATAAATGAGAAAAAATTTTGTGCCTCAAAGCCAGGACTTCTGACTTCTAAGGCTGACCTGAGAAAGGGATCACTTTTGTCTTTTAGTCTTTTCCTTGCCAGCTGTGATCTCAGTCAGGTGGCAGGGAGGAATGATGATGAAGTTAGCCACAGCTCTCCCACACAACAGGGTCCTTTGTGAGACCTGCTTATCCAAGAGGCCCAAAAGAAAGCACCTAACGTGAAGTCAGACGAAGATTAGAAAAGAGACAAATTGGAGAAACTTTTCCAAGCCAGTTCATTGCATGCAGCTATGGGATCGATGACATAGTGGGAAACCATTATTAGGCCTATGGGGGAAACAATGGATTTGCATTGTGGTTTTCCTATTAACCAACTGCAACAACCAAAGAAATGAATGAGCTCCTTTTTCTTTCCAATTTTCTCAATTTAACACACATTTATTAGGTAGCTGTTATGTTCACGGCACCAGGCTTTGAGCAAGAGAGCAGTGTTTCTCCACCAGTGGGACAGGCCCTAATTGCTTCAGCATCTGCGGGGCCACACTCTGGAACCACCAAGTGGGAGTCCCTGCAGGGGGTAAATCCTGGGTACTTCTTCGGTGCATGAACATTTGAGAGCCAGCTGTTAGCTAGAGATGAAAAGATGGCTGGACACAGTGTGTTCCTTAAAAAATATTCCAACATAATTTTTTTGAAAAAGGTCTTTGTCTTAAATGATTTCTAAAAGTTTTCTGATATGCATTTTAACTTGTTTCTAAAAGCGTTAGCATTTTACAAGATATTGCCACTTAATAATAGGTCACAGTTATGTGACCTGATTTTATTTATAGAAACATTTTCCATGATTTCACTAAACCACATTTTTCAGCTTCATATTCACATCTAAAACCAAATAAGAAAGTAGTTAGTTGTCCTGGTATGTGCTTGGAATCCTAGCACTGTGGAGGCTGAAGCAAGAGGATCACAAATTTGAGGCCAGCCTGGGCTACATGGTGAGTTCAACAGCAGCCTAGACTACAGAGTGAGATTCTGTATTTGAAAGAAGAAAAGGGAGAGGATGGGATGGAACAAGATAGGAAAGGATCAGAAGGGGTGGGAAGGGAGGGGAAGGAGCCAAGGGACGAGTAAGCAATCATCAGGATCGGATTATTATTCCCTTCCATCATTTTCAAGTGTCCAAGGAGGTATGCGGCTAAGAGCTAGTGAAGTAGGGTCTGCCTCTAACTAGCTGCACAATTTTGGCACACAGCCTCACCCAAGTAGGCTTCCTCTTTTTCAGATGAGAGGTTAGGTTACTCAGATGACAATGGCTGTAAGTATCCATGACAAAGTTCCCAGGGCTCCACGACTCTTAAAATTTATGAAAGATACTTGCGAAACATCTCCCATCCATAAGGTCATACCAGGGTCTGAAAAACAAACTTCACCTACAAACATTGCTGTTTAAAAAGGTATAAACTCACATAATCACTCCATCTCAGTCCCATTAATTTTACTACTAAATCGCTTCTTGCATTCATTTATTCCTCTTCAGTTCCACTGCGGCTGCCCTAGTCCACACCCTTTGAAATGATTCATTGGGACCAACGTGACAGCATCCTGATCACTCTGTTTCCAATCTAGTTAGAGTCTATACAGCTTCCGGCTCCATCATTCTGAAAACAGGTCTCATGGTGTCGCCACCTTAAAGTCCTCAGCAATCCCCTGTGCTTAGAGCCAAACATGAGGGTTGATCCCGTGGAAACCTGTCTTGTCCCTGCTACAGCCCAGTCCAGTCTTATTCTCACCATGTCTCTGCCAGTCCCTTGTCTTACAAGCAACCCCACATACTTGGTCCATGGTTTTCCCAAAATGTGTTACAAACTTTCAACTTTCTCATGGTCTAGTTTCTTTGTAAAATTCCTTTCATCTCCTTGTCTGCCTAACAAGATTTGTAGCCCTATAATATCTCTTCTATGTTCATAATTGCTGTATTTTTCCACATTTCTTCTCTGACAGATTTTAAGCAAAATAAAGGCTAGGATTGTGTTTCATTTTCCTTAGTACCTTTAGGGTCTATAATGGCAACTCACATGTAGCAGACGTTCAGAAAATGGTTAGAAGTTGTCTTAGTTACTTTTCTCTCCTTGCTGAGACAAAACATCCAACACCCAAAGTTAAACGGAAAAAGGTTTATTTAGCTCACAGTCTGTAGAGGTTTCAGTCCATAATCGTCTGGCTCCAAGGCAGGACGGCAGGGCAGAGGGAGATCGTAGAGGAGAAACAATTCATGGTGGCCAGAAGGTAACAAAAGCAACAAGGGATCTTAATAGCTTCTTCCTGTCCTTTTTCTCTTACTCAGACTACTTAAATCTCCAGTAGCACTCATACCCTTAATCTGAGTTCTCTTGGGCCTAGCATTGCACCAAGAATCTATCACACACTCTAGATTTAGCCACCTCGGAAAAAGCCCCACCTACAACTCATGAGGCTTTGCGGGGACATCTAGATATAAGCCTTAATAGAAGAATAAATTAAGTTGGCTGGAAATACCTTCCAATAAAATTTTAGAAAGGGAAACCAGAAAATAACCAAATGTCTCTATACCAGAATAACTTCCTACATAGCAAGTCCCTTTTATTTAGATTTAAATGAATTTTCTTTTCAATATAGATCATGAAAAACTTATAAAAGGTCTGCACATAGTGTTTGACATGAGCATCACAAAATATGCACTGTAAATTAGCCTTGGGAGACATGAGTTAATCCCTCACCTTTGAAGGGTGAGCGTGTTAGAAAGGGAGGGCGGGGATTAGAGGGCGGCAGCTCCTACCTGTCAGGTCTGCATTGGGCCACCAGCCCATGTCACAGGCTTTGCAGGTGAACTCGTCCTGCACGTATTCATTCTCTTTGCAGGCGGTACAAATCCAGCAGCAGCTCACTTCTCCTTTCCGTATGACCTGTAACAGGGATATTGCATATGTCTTAAAGGTAACTTCCCCCAAAAGGCTTCTGTTGCAGATGAAGACTTGTCTTCATGCTATGATAGACACAGTAAAAACATAACCTTGAAAAGCTTTCTGTGCTGAAGATCCTTAAAATGATATATTGGAATATCCTTCATTATCCTACAGTTAAGATGTCAATGTCAATTCATTCCATCCTGAATTTGAATGCTTCAATTATTTCTTTGATAGAGTGAATTCACCCTACATTATTTTTGCAGAATTAAAACATGAAAATTTAATTTTATTCTTGTTTATATTCATATTTATTATTTTAACAATAGTAGAAGTACATTTTTTCTCTGAAAAAGCAAGTAATCTTTAACCGCAAAGTTCTTATATGATAAAACATTAATTCATAAAAACTGAAGAATCATAAATTTTTTGTTATAATTCTGAAAGACTGAATTGTGAATAATTTTACTCTAGAGAAAATTTATATACATAAGGGCAGAGTGATGACTAGGGAAGAACGCAACTACTGGTCCTGGGTAACTTGCTCTGGTGAATTCAAATGATCACATTAGTTCCAGGGGGAAAAATTAGTCAGAAATTATTGGAGAATTGCTTCTTAGCTGAGAAGTTTAAACTTTCTCCAATTTTTCATTTATTTGGCAGACACTTCCACACCTTTATAGTAACAAAATAAACATTAAAACACTGCTTGTTATTTTACTTGTCAATAAAAGTGAGTGTCGTGCAGACAGCACATAACCAGGTTTTGCCTTGATCTGCAACCAAACAATTTCTGCCTTTTATTGCTTTATTGTTTAATACATTTACATTGATTGTAATAATCAATATAGTTACATACAAATGAATCATCTCTTCATTCCTTTCTATCTGTCCTATCTGGTTTTTGTTCCTTTTGATTGTGGGTTTTTTTGTTTGTTTGTTTTAATTTTAGCATTCCATGTTATCCAAAATAGCGGCTTTTTTACCTTTTTGTTTTAGTGGTTCCTTGAAGGTTGATAACAGGCACCATTAACTTACCACAGTCTACATCCATATACTCTACCATTATACCATAAAAACAGGAACTCATATAATGTGAGAAACCTATAGAAATATTCTTCCTTTCCCCTTCTCATCCTTTGGGTTATGGTTTAATAATTTCACCTACATTTAGTATTTTATAGGGTCTCCCACATTCACAATGAATTGTTATTTTTGCTTTAAAGTTATTTTTAGATAAAATTTTAAAATTATAGAAACATCATTATATGTAACCATTACCCACACATTTGCAATTTCTACTATTTCTAATTCTTTCATATAAACACTCATTTGCCTTATATAAATTTCTTCTCCTCGAAGAGTTTTCTTTAATATTTCTAGCAAAATGGGGTTTCTCACTGTATTTATTTGTTCAAAGAGGCTTTGTTTTGCCTTAATTTTCTAAAGAAATATTTTCACTTATCAATTTCGTTGTCGGTATTTTAGCTTTTTTTGAAATTCCATTAACGGAATTCTAGGTTCAATTGTTTTTCTTTTTTTCCTTTTAGAACTTTAAAGATATCAACACTTTCTTGTCTAGCATATAGCATTTGATGAAAGGTCTGCTATATTTGTATTTTGTTACTTTGTATATAATACGCCTTTTACTTTGAATAACATTAAAGTTTCCTTTGGTCACTTTTTAAAATCAACCTATACCATCTTTGTGTTTATCTTGCCTACAGTTTTGTTGCACTGCATGGATTTGTGTTTACATTTTCATTATATTTGAAAAATTTTAAGTCATTATTTCTTCAAAATTTTTTACTGAATCTTTTTCATGTCATTTTGGAGCTCCAAACGCACTAATAACATAGCCCTTTGATATTATCCTGCAAGTTACTGAGCATCTGCTCATTTTTGTTTTCTTTCTTTACCATATTTGGCCATTTTCTATTGCTATGTTTTTAAGTTCATTGATTTTTACTTCTGCAATGGCTGAATTCCACCCATTGACATAATTCTTTTTCATCTTATTTTTATGTGCATAAATTCCATTTTATAATTTTTATTTTCATTTTCTTCTATTTATATTTGTCTTTCCTTTAAAATTCCATAATATGTATTTATAGTAAGGGTTTCAATATCTTCACAGTTAATTCCACCATCAATATAACTTCTAGTATAGTTTGACTTTCTTCCTGGTAATGCTACATTTTTCCACTTTGTCACATGTACAAAAATTTTTCACCAGATGATAGACATTTTGTACATTAAGGGGTAGAGTGCTGAATTTCTTGTTTCTCTCTTTAAGGAGTGTTGGGTTTTGTTCTAGCAGGCAGATAAGCTCCTTGTAGCTCAGTTTTCCCCTTTGGGGGCTTTTCTTTAATCCCTTAGAGCAGTTTCTAGAGTAGTTTCTGCTCTAGGACTTGTTTAGCCTCATTAAAGTCTGACACTTCTCCTGTCATCATTTAATTCCTTGTGTATTCAACAAGATACCTCATTCTGGCTGGTGGAAACTCCAATTCCTGGTTCTGTATCAACTCTAGAAATTCAATTCCCTAGTAATTGTCCTTAACCTGGAGTCAGAGTTCTGTTCTGCTTACTGCAGACTGATATTTGAATACTCAAAGGAATTTGTATGCTAACTTCTGAGACCTTATATATTATTTAATCATTTATTTTCTTGTATAGATGCATCTTCTCCCTTCCTCTGTATTGGAAATTCTAGCTGCCTTGGCCTTCCCAAAGTCTGCTGCACCATATACTTCAATTACCAAGATGGACAAACTCTTTGTGGTCTCTCTAGTTGAAGAGTCAGTAAAATGCCTCCAGGCCACAAGCCTTAGTGGTTTTAGAGTTTATCTTCTTTGTTTTCCTTCACTTCCCTGCCATTAAGATTATATTCTGTTTTCCAATGTCTGAACATATTTGCCTCATAAATCTTATCAAATTTTCTTATTATTTACAGCAGAAGTCTAAGTATGGACCCTGTTACTCCCTCATATCTAGGAGCAGAAGTTCTTCACTAAAACATTCAAAAGTACCAAATAATTCCATATGTAGAGTCAGAATTAAACTGTACATATTGCTATACATTAAAATAATAAGAACCCTAGTCTTCATGAAAATGAAATTATTTTCCTGCAGAGCAAGTTGAAATTTACATCACTATGTTAGAATTGCATCAAATGATAAAATGACACAATTTTTTCAACAAATGTGAAAGTTTTCCCATTTTTTACTTTACTTTCAAATGGTTTTTGAAAGTTGAATGAAATTGTCTGTTTTGAAAAATAATTCACAAGTATCTAAGAATAATCACACAGAATCTACATTTCAAATCATATTTTTGTAAATGGTTTGATAAAAACTGAATTAGTAAATCAATGTTATTTTCTTTTTATTTAAATTATGATAAGCAGTGCAGTAAGAGCTAACACAAAATACTGTATGTCATTTCAAGAAGTTGTAATTTTTTCTCTCCCTATAAAAATACTGTTTAGACAAGTTCAAAAGATAATAATGTTAAATGAATTTACCAACTCAATTTTTCTTGTGCTTTTGGTGTCTTCCATCACTTCAATCCACCAATCAAAAGAAATGAGATCAAAGTAGCAATATCTTATTGGATGGTAGATATTACCAGGAATTTGTGGTAAAACATATCTTTAGTTATTTTATATTTGACAGATATGTTGCAATGTTTCCATCATTGCAAAATAAATGGAATGATAATGCTTTTCAAAGCTCATCTAGTTGATTTCACATTGTACATGGTTCATAGTCTGTCACATGACTGAAGCAGTTTTTCATTAAATTGTGATATTGACAGGTGTTTTATATCCTGGAGCAGGAACATTACAATACACCCACATTCTCTTCTCAACTTTGCTACTGGTAGCTGAGCCTCAATACATATCTATTTCATATAGCTATTTCTGTATAATGCAACAGGAAACATTCATAGCAAACAGTAGAGATATCATTCATCTATACATACATACATACCCATATAGACATGTATTCTACATTATATGCTTTGTAGTATCAAATTCACTCTTAGCACAGTTTGTTTTATTATTGGGAAAGCTGGGGTGGTACTAATTGCTTAAAAATTTTGTTCCAGAATGGATACCCAGGGCTGGGGATTTAGCTCAGTGGCTGGGGCTGCACCTGCCTAGCAAGCACAAGGTCCTCAGTTGAGTTCCCTGTACCAAAAAAAAGATATCCAATTTTCCAAATAGAATACATTTTTTACAGACTAATTCTAGAGTTGGGATAAACAACTAACAACCATAAATAGAGTTTTTTTAAGGCAGAAAGATGTGCATAAGAGGAAAACAACATTAAAGTAAAAAAGAAAAGGAAGAACTATTTAATAGTGCACCTTATGAGGATAATCTTAGGCTGCTACAGATGGCAAATGTTCTGGAATCTAAAACCCTAACCCCATGCAGAGTCTTGATGATGTATGATTTCAAACAATTTGCCTAATTTTCAATCATTGGCCTGTGTGAGAAGGCTATAGTGTAAATGTGAACTCAATATAATCAACATATTCTTTAGATAGGATATTATTAGAAATTATGTTTCTTCATTTGCAACTTCTCCCAGGTAGCTTTGCCTACCAACAAGAAAACCAAAATATAACTCCTATAGCAGCATTACCAATAATGCTCCTGGCACAAATCTGGGACACTTCAAGTTCCAGTTGGAGAGAAGTATAAATGGTTTCTTAACAGGCTCTACTGGCTACTTTGTAAGAATGAACACGATCATGACTCCTGTACTTTGATACTCGATAAATCTGTTCTTGTCCTCTTTGCTCACCCACAAGAAATTAGAGTGATGTTAGAGGCTAAAGTTGTCAGAAGGGGCTCTCTAGCTGTTTAAATAAGACAGCCTTACAATGGCTATGCTTCTGATATCTTTTGAAATCAAACCTTCATTTCTCTGGTCCAAATAATGTCAACAAATAGAATGAAATCAGTCTTATTCATGAATGGAAAAGAAGA